TGAATAGAAATGCTACATGGCCAGCGGAAAAGGGCGGACACCAGCAGTGACACAAAGGGCGGACACATCTTAAGAAAGAATTGAGAACCCCTAACAGTAAACTGTTTGGGGAAATACCAAGAGAGCGAGATCAAACCCTTACAACCCTGACCACCTGCAAACTTCGCAAGAGGAGAATAGAACCCATTCCTACGCGATCAAGTCCTACTTTGTGGCTCGCAAGCAAGCACCCCACATCCCGTTCTTCTATGAGATTGCTTCAAGTGCTTCTGCAAATAACACCATATACATGATATTCTTGAGCAAAAAAAATAGGAATGAAGCGAAACTCGTGGCATTTCGTCTGGCCTGCCACATAAAATAGATGGCAGGCATGGCTGTGAGGAGAAAGGCCAACGACAGGTCAAACGGTAAAGTAGAGCCTCCATACCAAAGAGCATCTGAGTCAGCAACTTGTGTCAAAGGCATCGAAGACGCGGCCAGTTGTGCTAACCATCCAGCACCGATGGCAGCGAGATACTGCACCTGATTTCTTCAAAAGGTTCTGAAGCAACAGCACGGCCAAGTGAAGTTGGGTAGAGATAAACTTGGAGAGAAATTCTGCCGAGTCGCAAAAAACATAAGTCCAAACATGTAGCGGAGCAAACCATCTGGGAAACCACATCGCTTGTGCTCTCCCACCATCCAGCATTCAAATGTGCTAAACAGCAAGGAGGTTGCTGCGCCGCCAAGTAGCCGGCCAAGCATCAACACCCCATAGACATTCACATGCTTGGTTAAGCAAGCTAGCCCATAAAGAATACAATATAGAATTGCGCAAAACTTCCGGCCCCAGGCATCTGCTACAGAACCGATGAAAGTGCCAGTGAGCATCGAAGAGGCAAATCCAGCCACAAAAAGCCGGGCAATGTCCGCTTTGCTCCATCCATATGATGCATAGAGCTCATAAACATATGGCCCCTGTAACCAGTCTGCTGTGATGGCGAGAAACCAAACAAGCAAATATTGAAACTGAAATTGCTGAAAGCCTCAGTTTGCGCATGTACTGCTTGGCTTGTCCGAACTAAAATCTACTGCATCGCATTTGGCCTTCCGCAACAAAAGGCAAGGACAAAGTAATGGCCAGGCGCAGTTTACTATCCAACTCACGAGTCCTAACAAATGAACTACGGTAACAGAAAGGTGACAAACAACTCTGCCACAAAAAGGATTGCTCTGCTGCAACACTGTCAAAAATAGGCTACACTGCATGTCCCGCTACGTCGACCTGGTTGCCTGGGGTGTGGGGTGGGACAATTATATAGATCTCTGAACAAAAGTTGAGTTCAATACTTAAATGCAGCCCATAACACCCTTCGGAACCTGCTCCGCATCTGCAGTAGGCCGAGTCAGCCAACCCAGTACGCAAGTTACAGCAAGGAGAGGCAAGGATGTTGCCGTGTAAAGGTCGCCAAGCCTGACGTTTCATCAAAAGGAGTTGCAAACCCCGTGCCAAAAAGCAGATTGAGATTTGGGCTCTCAAAACAAATTGTTGTGAACACTGACATCATCTCAGCGCAACAGGCATGAAGTCCATCTTATTCCAACATGAGAGCCCAAGTTATTCATTGCTTCCGTTTGATTCCAAACCTTGGGCTCCAGTATAGTCTATTGTGGCTTGGAACATAAAATTAAAAACTAAGACCTGCACAAAGATTGCTCAGGAGGCTCAACGGAGACATGAAGCAAAGATCTGCTTGACCTCGTATCCTTTGAACCTGGCAACATCATAGAGTGACATTGATAGCAGGGGATCAGCTTGGCTTCACAAAGCTAGAGAGAAAGAGCGTTTGCCGCCAAAAGTTTGATGCAACGGTTGGCAAAACTAGGCGGCTGGCTCAAACATTGTCATCGAATCATCTCTATCTTTCAGCGTTCGCGTTCTTGAACAAGGCATGCTGTATGCAATTGAAAAGATAGCTTCATGATCAGGATATCATTGTGTTTCTTGGAGCTTCCAACCAGTTCGACAAACATCAACACGAGGCCTAACAAGCGCCAGCCATGTGTGCTCGCCCATGCTGCACCCACCACAATGCAAGCGGCCTTTGGAGATGCATGGGTGCCGTCTTCCCCAAGCTGACAGACAAAGCCACAAAGGATTCAAAAAAATAGAAAAGCATTGACAGTGAAGACCCGAAAAGATGTTGTCTCGCAGGCTCCTATCTCCTGCCAGTACAGTGCCAAACAACAATCTAGATCGTGCATCCGTGATTCCAATGGATTCCGAGCCCGTGCCAGCGGCAGCCGCCGCAAAGGCAGCACTGGCATGGCAAGCTGGAAACTTGAACCGAAAACAAAACTAGTATGCCAAAACTCCAAACACGAAGCTGCATGGTGTTCAAAGGATACGTCGTAACGTACATCAAATGCTTTTGATCCTGCTCGCCCGGGCATTTCTAGGACTGTTGCAAGAGGATCCTGCGATCGACCTTCTGCAGCAGCCTTCACGCATCAATCCGCAAACAAACCGGGAGACCGGAGACAGCCACTGGTCATTCCTCGCAGGCCCTTATGCCCAAAAGCATGATGCAGCCGGCATTTGTCCATATAGGAAAACTGCATTCTAGAATGAATGTTTGGACAATGACAAATCCTAACAAATTCGTCAGGACTTTGAAACTTGCGAAGGTCCATTTCGCGGCATTATCTGCACCTGCACCTTCTCTCGAAAGGAAGAAATGCCTTGAAGGACCTCAAACGAAGATGTGAACTATGCGACCCTGTAACATGAAACACAGAACCTGTTCTTCGTTCTTCTGGCCTTCACAAAAGCAGCATGGCAAGTCTCGCGATCTGTGTCCTCAGTCGCTGAGATCTGTGGACAAACACAAAATAGATGAGATCTGGTCGATCTGTTGACCTTTCCTGAGATCTGGTCGAAAGATGCCCCGGACCACTGGAAGTCAGGCAGACCTAGAGCAAGTAAATAGGACTGCTATGGGCTGTGGACAGTCTTCATTGCACAAATGGACACAGCAATACCATATGAATACCCTGTTGTAGCTACGGTCAGTGCTACTCAGAAAGGTTGTTTCTTCATATCATGTCCAAAGTTGCCACTTGGAGTCTAAAACGGGCAATGGCCACGCTGGGTGCCCATGAGATTATAGCCACAAAGGTACTCTTGTGGCCCAGTGAACCGAACAAGTGAAGACAAGGAAGTGTCAAAGGTACCGAGTCGAGCCGATCTTGTCGAAACCTATATAAGTACGAAACATGGCATGTGGGTTTGCTCACTTGAGTACGAAGAAATGAGCAATTTTGGACTTGCTTTCCTCCTCGGGCCTTGGTGAAACTCAAAAAAGATCCCGCCTCGATTCAAGCGAAATGCCGTAGAGGGTGTCCGGGCAGTGTGTAACTGGCGAGCTCTGTATTGTGAAATTGCACCGTATCAACTGGGCCCCTCCCAAAGACATGATCCTTTTGCAAGCCACTCCGACGACACTGATGCTATGGCATCTTTGATTTGACTTTGCATGGAATGCAAGCATGTTTTAGCTTGACTTCACACTGTACAGCTTAACTTGGCTTCAGAATACTAGCCTCACTCCGCCTCAAACAAACAGTATTGTTCACAAGACTTCTTGGCGGGATGACGTTTCAAGCGAACAGTAGGAAAGAAACACTGGTGGAGAAAAGGCTCAGAGGCAAAAAGCATGAATGCAACTAAACTCATGTAGAAGGGTACTAAGATTCATTCTGGATTCAAGGCTGAATTGGGTCAATTGTTCATTGCATTTGCACAGTCTGGAGTGTTTTGAGAGTTGAGCTGTAAGAAGGTTGAGCGAGAGGCAGTGGTAAAGTCTCATACCTCCGTAATTGTCTTCAAAAGATTATCACCTTCTCACCACATCATCACAATTTTTGAGGCATGGTCATCATCTCACAAACTATATGTCCCATGTAGCCAACGTACCCATACGTGCTTTTGGATGCAACGTTCAGCGCTTACGCGTCGCTGAAACAGTGGTTTCATTTTGGAGCGGAGTGCACACCAACAAGCTTTTTTCCTGTCTCAAAAAGAGCCTCAAGAGCAGTAACATTCGTTCATGCCTGCATGCCCAAGGCCTAAATGCCCAAGTCTGGTTTCATAATCCAGTTGATCGCCTCAAGACCTTGTGACTTTCCTTGAAGCCTTCTAATGAAGTCTTTTGATTTCATGGGGTAGTTACAATCCTGCACATTCAATGGGTTCAAGGAACAATGGCCTTGAAGATGACAAGGAGTTGAGTCAGAACCATGATACTCAGGGCATAAAGACGGGTTCATCTGTGTTTCATACGTCTTCATCCACCGCAAACAATGCCTGCTAAGGACAACTCCTTTGTTTTTGTTTTTGTTTGCTGCCCGGTGTTTCTTTTTGGCTTTAGGCGTGCTCCCGTCTTGCTTTATGGGGTCAGTTGACATTATCCTCGATACGGACCCCCTTGCAAAACTGATTTCATCAGGATTCAAAAGAAGCTTATCTGAGCGTCGCCCCAAAGGCCTTCGATTTTATGTTGAAATGATGGGGTACCGGAGGGTCACTTTGCAGTTGCTTTGGACAGGCAACCTGAGTGACTATTCTGCAAAGCCTTCTCACCGCACAGCAACACCACATTCAAATTCCATATAGTCCAAGCGTCAAATGGCCCTGATCGCCTCCTCACATCCGAATCCGCTTTTGGCACTGCTCAATAAAGCCTCGAGTGCTCTGAAAGTGGCGAAGAACTGGGGCAGGGGCTTCAGCTACGCTGAGTGACTCATATCCCATCCGTTCTTCACCACGTGGCTTCAGGAGTCCTATATAACTCCCTTTTTCATTGGTCGCCCTGCCTTGCATTGGCGGACAGACTGCGAAACTGCACACGAAGCAACTGCCGCACTGCATTTTGCCTCGGAGGCTGTCAGCTGTATATCGTAAACCCCCAATAAATCACGCTACCACAGAAGAAATCATGCTCATGTTCTACTTTTGTTTGGGAGAATGTAAGCCAACGTAAGCCTAAAGTTTGAAACCGGCGCCCAACCAACCAACCTGGTGTGTTTGTCTCAAATACACTGTGTGTGTATTGCATCTCACTGAATCAGTCGGGACTTATCAAAGTCATTTTCCGAAACATGTCATCCATCGGCCATCACCTTCATATATACCCTCCCTGCACAGCATGAAACTTTCTAGAAAATTGCGCCATGTCTGTAGGTATCCTGCGGCTTCTCCAGAGGCCAGCAATCTCCGATAGAGATGAACAACAGTCAAAGAAGCACGACACCAAACTTCTAATCTTCATTTCCTGTGTGTGTGGACATATGCTTCATCTCGTGGAAGGTACAGCCACACCTTCTTGCTAAACTTATTGACCTCATGCTATGTCGGCTGAGATTGGCCAATCTGCCTCATCTCATCTCTTTGGGAAGCGCCGTTGAGGATCAAAAGAATCTGACTCATCTATGTCGCAGCCAGTTGCTTTGCAGCGCGCATCGTTGTCTGTCGGTGCCATAAAGCTGGAGCTTGTCGGAGTTGCTCGGCACTTTGCACGGGAAGTCTCGTCGTTCTTGACAGAACTGTCTGTTGAACAAGTTTTTTTGCCCTGGAGCGAATTAGTTTTGTCAGCTCTGCTGTACTCTTTGTTGCGCTTTGCAAGCGCGTGGAATAGGTCCCTCATGCGTTGGTCTGGTTTCTGCAACCCGAGGTCTTCAACACGCTTGTCACGGAGCACATATTGCTGGCTGACTTGGTATCGAGGTAAGGGCGTCCCTGAACGGCCTTCGTGTCCAGTGTCACCTTCCGTGAAACCCCTGGCGCATTCAGCATCCTGGCGCCTCAGCACTGGGATCCTAGATTTCAACTCACATCTTGGAACGCAGGTCGTCTAGGATCGTGATCCAGCCTCCTATACAACATGTAAAGCACATTGAGCTAGAAACCATGAATGGCAAGATCACAAGTGGTAGCCCATCTCTTCTTCTGCTTCCACTAGCTCCTCTGCTCCACTCCTCCACTCCCTTTTCTGCCCTCGCGCATTTTTGAAGCCTCACCACCTTTTTGTCTTGTCACTGTGAATGCCCGACTCAAGGCCGAATACCTAGCCGTCGACCGAAACTTTCTGATCTGTTCATCTCCTCCCAATTCTCCACACAAAGGAAATTGTGCGTCTGGCCAAGGCGGGAAAGCTCATACTGCATTACGAGCGCGATAGTCCAGACAAACGAGCTCTTCTGGCATTATACGCGGACAAAATGCGCCTGTTCGGTACCCAGTCTGGATTCTTTCCTGAATCATCAGCTCGACGTCCAAGGCAATGTACAACGGTTGCCCGGCTCGCGTTCCCACGAGCTTCACATTGCAGATCCATGGAGGTGTGACCGTGAAATAGTTGCGTGAAACCCTCCAACAATCGGACCGTTCTTGATGATGTTGAGGCCTTGCGGATCTGTCGAATGGTAGATCACCCGTGGAACATTCGTGGAAACGTGGGTAATCTCTACGATCGAGCCGCTCGACTGTAAAATCATCGTCACGCAAAAAGATTTCCAGACAAATGGCGCGATTCCCAAGTCGGTCGATGACCCAGTCCTTGTGACCTTGCGCGCACGACCAGCACTCGCTTCCAGGGCATACCTTTCCAGGTAGCACAATCGAGTCCTCCTAGACAAACTCGCAGCCTGAGTCGGCGATCATCATTGTTGCGATTGCAGAGCAACACCTTGAATTCCTCCTAGTTCCCACGTCGTCCTTGAGATGGCGCATGCAAATCCCAGCTTCTTTTTTTTCCCGTCCTCAGTGAACTTTGGCGTTGGTTGACGCCGTTGCTCTCGTACACCACGAAGGTGATTGGACAGGAGATGCGATATCTTGGTCATGCGGCCATCATTGCGCTCTTCGGCACCTGGAGCATATGCTTGGGCCCAATGTAGGCTTGCTTTGCTGCCCAGGCTGCAATTCGATGGGGAGCCCCTCTGCGCGATTTTCTGCGCTTTCTTCTTTGGCGCATTCTCGGTCAGCTTCGGAGCAGGTTCTGGAGGATATTCCGGAGGAGGTTCCGGAGCACAGAGTGATGATCGCATGAAACACTCAACGCGCAGTCAACCTGCAAAAGCTTTTGCACATTTAGAAATGAAACATCATGAAACATGGCGTTCCCTCCACTCAAACCATAGCAGCGCTTTTGTGACAACGTTCCGCAGCATTGCAGAAATGAGTGCGGTGATGTTGGTGGGCTTCTTGGAAATCCTTGGACGTGAGCCTGCCATCAGAGGTAGGCTGTGCATCAGCATGAAGCTTGATGGTTTGTGGCATCAAGTTTAAGAACACACAACATGTTTCTAGCTGTTGGGGTATTCCTGCTTTTGTGTGATGCATGTCCACTCAGTTATTCAGTGAAATTCTTTTCTCGGTGTATGCTCATTCGATTCGTTCTCCTCTTCTATTTAGTTTGGGGTTTGCGTCAGCCGCGGAAAGCGTCCACGATACATTCCTTGGTGCGAATGTGCGGGGTTGAAGCATTATGGAAATGTGAGCTTTCGTAACATGATGTGTTTTGGGTGACTGTCGTTCGCAGTGATGGCATTATATGATTCAATACACGCAATTGAATTTTAGCATTCAAGTGCGAGGAGGGCACTGTTCTCCGATTCGACCAGAGCTTTCGATCACTTCCTCAGCTCCAAGTGACATGTCAGCCATGTACCAAAATTTCTCTAAGGAGGAGCTAAAACAGTTGGTTCGAGTTCGAGCCTTGAATGAGAGTGGCGAGTTGGAGCAGCTGCTGCACGAAGCAACTGCTTCTATTTTGGCCCAATGGACACAAGGATCGATGAATGACAGCTCAATGCACAGATTGACCACTCCGGTGCTGTCTGCGAAAGAAGAGTTGGACCAGTTTGGGGCGATTGCTTTGACTCAGAGTATGACTCCACATCCGAAGAAAATGAGTCAAGCACCGGTGCTCCCACATCAGGTCGGCTACTCTTTTCATGCTGGAACAGAGATTCGCATGCCTGAAGGCATTCACTCTTTGAAGCAGTGGGCTCCACAATTTGTAAACTCCCGAAAGTGGCAAAGTGTAAAATGACGAATGATGACATGATCAAGGAGGCCGACTCGTCCAAAGAAATGAAGGACAACCTGATGACATCCGTGCATTGCATACATGAAAGCAGTCCAGTTTGATCCTTCCTGTTCCAAGTTTGGAGTGACATATCCGGGCACGAATGCGGCCCATTGCTTGGGCCATGAGCGCCATGTAAAAAATTGGATCAAATAGATGTTGAGGAGTGTAAATAGTGCAGGTTGTGTGATCTATGATCCCATTGAAGCGGAACCTTTAGGCTGGAGCATGGCGTAGAAAGAACGTTATAATCGAACCACTGCTGATTTGTGGTCGCCTTACAAGGAGGATGACCAAGACTTGTTTAATCCACTTGTCTGGATGTACATCTGCTAGACTGGGATTACTGCGTAGATTGCCTTGACAGCATTTTCTACGGGGTATATAGATTTGAATACTCTGTGAATATTCTGTGAATGTATCCTTCTCTCTGCAGCACCCACTGACCTGAGAGAATGTGGATGCAGCAAAATGCTGTCAACAATGTACCACCTCAGACAAATGTACTTGTTGCATTGTTGCAGTTGAAACTCTCAAATCGTATCCAAGCTTTACATGTCAAAGCTGATTTGTTGCAGCTATGAGACGAATTGGGTGGCACTGGCTGTATCACCCCACTATTAATTGTATTATGTTCGAGTCAGTTTCGCGTAGACCTGTGTGAAACCCAACCCCGTGTCCAATGTGCGCTCATCACGATCTTGCCTGTCAAAGCTTTGGGTCCAGTGGCTTGGACGGCTGAACCAGGGCTGTCTGCCACACGCATTGCAGCTTCTTTGCTGTCATCATCTGGATCTGCATCTACCTACCCAGTGTGCCCACTGAGTGGTGATAGTGGCTAGTCTACCGTCTAATTCTTCTGTATGGAGCATTCTTGCAGCTTTCAAAGGACCAAGTACTGCAGATATTCTGACTCTGGAACAGATCCCTGTATACTGTGAAGACAACACTCATGAGACTCATGATCAATGCTTCGAACTTGCCGGCGGCTTAGAAGGGGAACGCACAAACTGTTGGCTCTGCTGTCATGGAGGTCAGCAGGGCAAAGAAGCACAAAAACCGAAACAATGCCACCGATCCCTGCTTCATACACCTTGTTCACCAAGATCACCACAGGTGCTCCTTCTTTGAGAGCAAAAGCAGCCTTGTTGAAGGACTCGCTGAATGCGGCCTGATTTGCAGCGGATTTGCCCAACCCGCAAGGGGATTCCGCTTAGCCACGATTTTCGGTTCGACTGACTAGCGCCCAGAAAAAGGACTAAAACAACCCTTGTGCTCAAAAAGTGCGTCAAGTAGAGATCAAGTGCTTCTGTCGAAGACGAAACGAACCAATGACATTGAGAACTCATTGAGAACTCTGGGAGGTAAGCACCTCATCAAATTCATCGCTGCCATCAACCACAAAGACCAGGACGTCAGCAGTAGAAATATGCCTTGAATGGTTCATCTGCAGCTCACTTATCCTTTCAAGCAGAACCTTAATGAAAGACTGTTTTCCAAGTTGCTCTTGCCAAAGACCGACCGTGGAGCCCACTGCCAGCAAGTGGAGCTGGGTCTTGTCAAAGGGCCTCATGAGAGGCTGCCAGCCTGCCATCCACAACGACAAGGACTTGACTACATTCAAAACACTTCAACGTGTATGATTCTAGGTTGGAGGCCATCGCTATTAGGTTGGAGGCCATCACTATTAGGTTCCTTTTGCTATTGGGTTGGAGGCCATCGATATTAAGTTGGAGGCCGTTGCTATTAGGTTGGAGGCCATCGCTATTAGGTTGGAGGCCAACGCTATGGGGTTCCTTTTGCTATTCGGTTGGAGGCCATCGCTACACTTTAGCAAACAAACATAGCTCAAAATCCCAAAAAAAAGGTACATTAACACGGAACACGGCCAAGCTCCCAAGTAGCCTAACCTAGAACAGAAAGCCAAAACGTCTCCTCCAAGATGGAGAATTCTATGTTAGTCTCAGGTCCCTCTGTCCAAGCAAGTTCTATGTTAGGCTTGCTTCCTTTGGTCCACACATCCTCCCTCCCTTCAAAAAGGAGGAGAACAGGTATTATACCTGTGACATTTCTCTACCTCAGTGCAGCTTACTGTACTGTATCTTGACGGATGGAAGCCATTTGTGTGGGGACCCCTTTCCGAGGCCAAAAAATGTCACTTCTGGTGGCAGTTTAATAAAAGATTTTACACTCTGACTCGCTATCATGGATATGCAGGAGTGCTGGCAGCGGTTTTAACGTAGAACTGCCAGCAAGGTTTGCTCTAAACATGGCACTGGAGTAGCTCATCTTGTGTTTTAAACATGGATTGCCTCAAGTTGCTTTTTATTGAACGTGGAATTGACCAAAATGAGGCGATTGGGGGGTTGTCGCCATTCTAATTTTCCCTGCGCGCACGCACACACAGTTTTTCTTTTGCCTCTTCCATTCATTTGGTACAGTATTGAGTGGCCTTCTCGCTGTAGCTGCAACCTACGCACAGACCAACCCCCACAAGGTAGCTGTGCCGCTCGGCTTTCCACTGACAAGGCACTTTCCACACACAGAGATGTTTAGACTCAGACAATTACTTACCATTGTATATGAACCTGGCTCACAGCCAAGCAACTGCATCTACGTTAAGGCCTCCTAGGCTTGCAGGTTCAGCTGGAGTAACCATGAACGTTGCTCCAACTGGTATTTTAATTACCTGACCCAATGTTGGCGATTTTATCGTCAAGTCGAGCCAGAAACCCCTCGGCCTCAGAATTCAGAGGGTGTTCTTCCATGTACCTCTTTGCTGTGTTTTTTCTCCTAGTCTGTCATTTGCCAATCACTTCTATGTTTCACATCTGGAACAAAACAAACAGTGACAATGTGCAACTACAATAGCTACACCAATTGTGTTGTTCCTTCGTTTCAGTTCACTTCCACGTTTGGCAACCCCAAAGTCTGGAAAATGACAGCGTGACCAAAACCGGGGCACCATTCCCAAATCTTGCGCACGACCAATAACAAGGCCATAGTCTCTGACCGCTTCTCCCCCCATGATGGTGCAAAGTTCTTTGCCTTGTTGGACTCGGTCTCTGCACGCCGGGCGTGCCATTGTCTGGTTTGCGAGTGATGGCTGATCTGGAATCCACTCACGTCAGGCATGCGGATCAAGCCCTCTTGGAGAAGGCTTTGGTAGGCCTCCCTTTCCTGAAAGCAAGGAGGTTGGTAGACGTGTCCGGCCGAACTCTTGCTTGTACCTGGGGCGCCTTTGCTCCCGGAGTGTAGTGAAGTGACAAACATATCCTCGTGGATCTTGTCAACTTCTTCATCTTCAGGATCAGGATCATCCATTCCACTGATCACTCCTGCGATAAAAGGAGGAAAGCTGAAAATTGGTTGGGCAAGCACCTCAACATAGCACTGCAACAATGCCAGCTGCCATGTTACGTGCACTGGAATCATGTTAAAATCTTGCCTGGCACGCCCTGCGGCAAAGTTTGGACAATTTTGTCAGAACCAGCAGCTGGAGCTGGTGCTGGGTCAGACTGTTGAGCTGATGCTTGCAAAGCTGCTTGACCTGTCACATGCACATGTTTATGGGCGCGTGCCGCATGTGTGTTTTGCTTTGCGGTTGAATTTGTGTGGAGACAGCTGCCATGTCAATTCCCTCCTTCCGGTACCTAGACCTACACTCTGACTCACTAACATGGAAGTGGAAAATGGGACCCTGGAAGACTGCTATCCTGTAACAGGGGGCTTTCCACTTCCATGTTAGTGAGTCAAAGTGTACAATAAGAAAAACGCAGTGCCCCTCAGCCTTCCAAACCGTGCTGGTCATAGATCTCAGAGTCGCTGCTCTCCTGTGACTCTTCGTCATCCTCATCCACATCGTCGAAGTTCTCAACCATGTGCTCGTAGCCATCCAAGAACACCGACAACTTGTGGTTGGGCTTCCCAGTCTCGTAATGAAAGCAGCGCACCCTCATCTCAGCCATGTCAGCTCCCAACTTCAGGCTGAGCGAGACATCAGTTCCTGCTAGTGTGAACCCCAGTGACATGATTTGCGCCTTGCACTTGGGATTCTTCACTGAAGGCACCCCTTCTGGACTCACTTGAATGTGCTTGGAGAGCCATTCCTGTGTTGCCAACTGCCCTGTCTTCTTGCACAGAACAAAATGGCGCACCGCCACCATCAGAGATTCCACATCCCCTCGAAGCTTCTGCGTGCCCTTTTTCTTGGCATTTGGGTCTTTCTCGAGGGCCTCGTTGAGAAGGACCTTGCTCGTGCTCAGCTTGTGCGCGTGAAGCATCAGAGTTCTCACATATGCTGAGGCAATCTCATACGGCAGTGGAATCCACACATCTGCTTGAACCTGGCATTGGTGCAAGGCTTGGATTCCACGTTCACATCTCGCAAAGACACCAAAGAACATCAAGGCTCTAGAGTAAAATCATGTGAAATCATTATGGCCACACAGTGAACATATATAGATCTCACGCAGACTGTGCATGCTATGTTAGCAAAGGTATTGAAACAAATGGCCAGTCCTCCAGCTGCCACTCGAACTGAGTACACCGTTGGGGCGTGTGACCGTAACCCATCTCTATGAAGATGTCCGACAGCACGTCCTTCGCTTCCTCCAGAGAGAGGTTCACGTGCCCACTTGATTCGCTTAAACCATTTGCTGGGTTGAGCCTGCTGAAGTGGTCGTTGGGGACAAGGCCCGTAGTCAGCCAAGCTGCTTCAAACACACGTGGTTCCATAGCACACCAAGCATCCCATGTCAATTTGATGACGTCAGCCCATGGCTTGACTTTGTAGTTCAACTGCCCAGAGGCTTTCAAATCAACTTCATGGTACGTTGGTCTTGAGCGTAGGTCGGAGAACATGCCCGTGGAAACGATATCGCGGGCCCGGATCAGTTTGCGAAACACACCATGAATTTGATCAATGGGTTGGCCATGACAAGACCAACCACCTGCCATTTTCATGGGCTCCAATATGCGGTGGCTCTGGTAGAACTCTCTCCTGCACTAAATTAAGGCTAAAGCAAGTCTGAAGAGAAATGATACAAGCACTTCCCCGCCACCCACAAACACTCACTACCATGGACATAGACTTTGGGGTGGCCAAACGTGGAAGTTGACTGAAGCGAAGGAACAACACAATTGATGTACGGCGTACTGTAGAAACATAGAAGTGACTGGCAAATGACGGACTTCTAGGTTAAACTCTTGAACTCATCATCCAGTTGGTCCTCCTGGGCTCCTCTCCTCTACTTTTGGCAAAGGTTCCAGTCCATGCATCGCAAACAAATGCTGCAGTGGCCTTTGGATGGTTGGTGTCCATGCCATACCTGACACAATCGGGTGTGCATCGAGCTAGGGATGCAATTTCTTGGATATAGCACGCCTCCTAGCCCAGGTTAATTGCGAGGAATGCTGATACCCTCAGTGCAATATCTTTTTCTAGTAAGGTAGTGCACGCTAAAACAATGCAACTCACGCTAACATGTGTTCCTCTACCACGTTCCTTTCCACGTCGATGTTGGTGAGTAGTACATATCTCCTGTGCCTGTTTCAGACAAGGTGCTTCGCTCGTTGACGGGCAAGGGCCGGACTAAGGAGCTGCTCATAGACCTGTAGTAGTGTGTCTGCTGTCATGAAGTGCGTTTTGCTGCCAGATGTCACGATCAGAGATGTACCAACATGTGCGTTGTTCCACTCCCTGATAGCCTCCGCGTCCATGGCTCCTTCTGGGACACAGTACGCAAGTGGGCCCGCTGAGCCATCAGACCACGAGCTGGTGAGTGCCTCATCATTGGGTCAAAAAGAATGTCACGCTTCCCAGACATCCCAAGGTACAATATTTCATACACTCTGGCTCACTAACATTTCCATGTTAGTCAGTCAGAGTGTAATACAATGACACTAACGTGGCCGGCTGTAAAGATCACACAACATGAGTGTTCATCCTTTGCCAAACGACTGCCCCCCAACAAGCAAAAAATCCGTTGGACTCACAGCAAACAAGGTGCCGTGAGCGATTTCCTGCAACCGCTCACATGGTGGAGCTTCTTGCTTTCATGCTGGCCAGTCTTCTGCTTGGGGACCTTTTGGCCTGCGAAAGCACGCGGTTTGAACCGCAATTTGCCATCAAACGAGAAGCATGTCCGCCACATTTGGTCAAAGTTCAGGAGCAAGGCTTCATGCACGCCGCGAGATTCAAACAGCGCCTGTGTTGCCTGCCGTGCATGGACCATGTCCGGGTGGTTGTACGGTAGCCACCCACCACCCTGAGATCCCTTGCTCAGCAAACTCCAGCCCCACTTTTGTTGGAAAGACCGTGCCCAGGATGCCGACGGAGGTTTCACTGGATGTGGAAGCTGGCTCCAACCAGCAAGAGCAGCCTCCATTGTCATTTCGCCGTTCTTCACCAACTCCAAAAGCTTCTTGTTTTGTTCTTCAACAGCGTCCTGTCCAAACTTGAGCGCAGCATTCCAGTCTTTGACTAGGCCGGCCATTGCGCTCACCTTTCAGCAAAGGTTAAAACAATCATAGCCACAACCCCTGCAACACTGCCATGTTAGTAGTATGCATTGTTCCATGTTGAATTTCAACACAGCAATCCATTTAGGTTAACATCCCCGTTGATCAATCCAAGCAGGACAAGTTGAGCCCGGGTACGATGTGATCCGTGGTTATGATCTCCTTCCTCTCAGTGACCTCGCTGAAGCCTTGGGCGTACTCCATCATCAAACAATCCAACTGCTCTTGGAGTTCAAGAGGGATGCAGCCAGCACTACCACGTCCTTTGAGCTTGGCTCCTACCTTCTGCCTCCATTGGGGGTGCTGACTTGGCTGACCCTGAAAGCTTCTGGTAGTTCCTCCCAAGACTCCCTCTCACATGCTTGGAGCCATTTGTAGACCACTGCTTTGCCCACGATGTCTTTGAACTGTTCCTCACACGCAGCCTGGACATTCAATTTTGCTGTGATTTTTGCCTTTTGCTTCTTGGTGCGAAGTTCTTCCCGTTCAGCCACAGTTGTGCAACTTGTCATGGACTGCTTCAGGACCCTCTTTGCCTCCTCTTGCTTAGCTTTGAGTTCCCGGACGAACTTGATCACTTTGAGCTTGTCCTCGATGAATATCAGGCGACGTGCTTTGGCTGGAGGTGCCATGTCATGGGAGGCATCCACAAGCTTTCTCTTGACATTGCGTTTCGCAGCCTTCTTGGGTCGCACTGCCTTCTTCAAGTGGTAGAGCTGGCGACGTCTCTTCTTTTGCTTCTCCTTGGTTTCCTCGTCCAAGCCCTCCACGACAAAGTCAAACTTTTTTTGGACCCGCTTTTCTTTTCTTTTGAACTGCGCCTGTCGGGTGGCAGTTCTCACATTCACATTGGCAAGACGCTTCTGAAGCTTGTCATGCTCCATGCGCAAATTGCCCAAATGCTTCACCATGTGATCAAGTATCTCAGCAAAGTCGGCATCCTTGGAGTAGTAGATGTTGGGAAACTCGGCTCGGTTCCCGTCCTGAAGACCCCTCATGAGGTACTCCTTCCATGTGACCATTGGACACTTCTTGGAGCCGTGAGTTTGGACGGAGGTGGCATACTGGGGAGTACTCTTAGTACTCTACCTCATTGTTGCTTATCTTGAAGGATGGAAGCCATTTGTGCGGAACCCCTTTCCGAGGCCAAAAAATCATGTCTGGTGGCAGTTTAGTAAATGAGTTTATACAAAATGTTCAAGTGTTGGTTTGGCTGCTTTGGTTCGACCAGTGTGAGTACTAGGTAGCCAACTTTGGACAACAAGTGCTGTACTGTAAGAAGGGCAGCCAATACTGTATCATTACCGTACCGAGAGAATCACACACAGCCGTTAACATAGAACACGGGGTGACATTTCTGGGAAGTACTCTACCTCATTGTAGCTTATCTTGAAGGATGGAAGCCATTTGTGGGGAGACCCCTTTCCGAGGCCAAAAAATCATTTCTGGTGGCAGTTTAGTAAATGAGTTTATACAAAATGTTCAAGTGTTGGTTTGGCTGTTTTGGTTCACCCAGTGTAAACACTAGGTAGCCAACTTTGGACCACAAGTGCTGTACCGCAAGAAGGGCGGACCAGTACTGTACCATTACCGTATCGACAGAATCGCACACAGCCGTTAACATAGAACACGGGGTGACATTTCTGGGGAGTACTCTTAGTACTCTACCTCATTGTTGCTTATCTTGAAGGATGGAAGCCATTTGTGCGGAACCCCTTTCCGAGGCCAAAAAAGTCGTTTCTGGTGGCAGTTTAGTAAACGATTTTATACACAAGTGTTGGTTTGGCTGTTTTGGTTCACCCAGTGTAAACACTAGGTAGCCAACTTTGGAGCACAAGTGCTGTACTGCAAGAAGGGCGGACCAGTACTGTACCATTACAATACTGACAGAATCACACACAGCCGTTAACATAGAACACGGGGTGACATTTCTGGGGAGTACTCTACCTCATTGTAGCTTATCTTGAAGGATAGAAGCCATTTGTGGGGGACCCTTTCCGAGGCCAAAAAAGTCATTTCTGGTGGCAGTTTAGTAAAAGATTTCATACAAAATGTTCAAGTGTTGGTTTGGCTGTTGTTTTGGTTCACCCAGTGTGAATACCAGGTAGCCAACGTTGGACGACAAGTGCTGTACTGTAAGAAGGGCAGCCAATACTGTATCACTACCGTACCGACAGAATCACACACAGCCGTTAACATAGAACACGGGGTGACATTTCTGGGGAGTACTCTTGGTACTCTACCTCATTGTAGCTTATCTTGAAGGATGGAAGCCATGTGTGGGGACATCCCTTTCCGAGGCCAAAAACGTCTTTTCTGGGGGCAGTTTAGTAAATGATTTTTGGTTCACCCAGTGTAAATACTAGCGTTGCCAACTTTTGACCACAAGTGCTTGGAGGTGGAAATCGCGGGTTTTGAGGTGGAGGACCAGGAGTTTGGAGCGAGGGAGCTTGGAGCGTGCAATACACATCACAACACATCACAAACTATTAGGAGGCGTAGGGTCTGTGTGAGGGTTTATGAAAATTTAGGATGCCCGCCCTCCCGGGCTCTGAATCTATATACATTAACATGGAACCTACCAAACACACATTCCACTAACATGGAATTCCTGCATAGGCACTAAGTGAAACGGGTTTGCATGCTATGTTAGCCCTCCGGGGGCTCCTTTTTTCTGCTTACATGGAACCTGCGCCTGTAAAAACATGTATGGTTAACACGACCACCTGAAAAAAAAGAATGGGGGGGCTATGTATGTCTGCTGAAGAGTAATAAGTTCGACGCCATCGCTATTAGGTTCCTTTGGCTATTAGGTTGGAGCATCGCTAGTAGTGAATCAAATTGGTCTTCACCACTACTCGAGGCTTGTTTCCCTGTGACAAGGTAGCCATTCGATGTCGCCCACTTCAGCGAGCAGCTCAGCATGGAAATGCTGGTTAAGTTCAGTTGACCAAGGTCAACCAGGTCAGCTAGCCCCGCCTGGATCGTTTTTTTCTGGCTTCTCCAGCCATGCATCCGTAGTCCATCGAGCTACCAAGGACTTGGCACCAGCATTAGGCATGCCAACCACAACTACCTTGAGCTCTTTGACGTTTCCTGGTACCACAATCAGGTCGCAGAATTGAAAAATGGTTTCTTCTAGCACATCCAGCTATTCTTCAACACTCCAAGAGAAAAAAGGAGGGCAAACTTGCAGGAATCGTGGAAGTCCACGCCCCATCACTAAGGTCAAACAAAGCAGCAAGAGGGCTTAATTGATACCTTGAGAACGCGTCCTCTTTTGAAAGGCCTTCTTCGGCACAACCTTTCCTTATGACATAAAAGGATAGTTTCCTTGACATCCCCCCAAAGCAAAACTTGATTCTACTACTGGCAAAGCGACATGTCCTCCCAGAACTCGTGAGTTAGTTTCACGTGAAGCTGTGGCAACTGTACAGACAGCAACAGAGTGGCCTCCATCGGCACTCTGCGATGATCCCATTCCAGTCACGCTTCGCTGACGCAGTGTGCCAGTTGACAAGCCAATTGAATAATAACAATAGCAAAGACTTCGGGGCATCTTCACAAGCATTGTGGCATCCCTAAGGTTGGAAAAAGTGCAGGATCCGGCATCTTTTGTTTCTAAGCACAGAAGTTTGCCATTGTTTATTCACAGAGCAAAAGCGGATTGAGCCTAAAGGCCGCCCTCGCGCTCGAGTCAACGAGAGCATTCAAAAAAGCATGCCAGGGGGGGCTGCGACATGTTGAGAAAAGACAAAGGAAGATTCAGAAATGAAGAGTTGAAGAGTTGAAGAGTCACTTTTGAGTTGATTATAATTGCTTTTAAGAAAGTTTTGTCACTCAGAATCACAGTGTGAACTTCAACTCCTTGCCTCGGTCACCAAGCTTGGCAAGGCTGGCTCAGGGGATGCACGATTTCCCTGGCTGTCTCTTGATGCCTGACACACAAAAAAACGAATAGAATCAAATATCTTTATGCGTTTGAATCCAACAAGAAATATTCAATCTCTTCAGAAACCCTGGGCTCCACGTTCCACTCTTCAGTCGCCTTGTAGAATGGAGGCGATGATAGCTGTGCTGTGCTCGCCTTTCACTGGGTCGGGCTGAAAGAGATGCGGTTCCTTTGAGACTGTCAGAGGCTTCAGGCCTGCTTCGCTTGGCTGGTCATAGTTTCATCAACTTCATCCCAGAATTAGGGTAGCTTCATTGCACAGTGCCATAGTCACTGCTGATAAGAATGCATCGAGAACCGACACGCATTGTGCACGCTTGCGACAGCAAGTATCTCACATAATATTGCAAGCATTTGTTGACAATGGGTCTGACTGTTTGCATTTGTCAGGGAACCTAAACTACGGCATACCACAGTACAATTCGGGAAGGCTTTATTTGTTGCTGCTGATCTGATCACAAAGGCAGTGATATATCGGAAACTGCTTGGATCAATTTTCTTTCCACCTGATCAAAAGTGCTTCCAACTGATCAACCCTGGCCATAAATGGCTGCATATACATATGTACAGTTGTCGTACAGTAGCACCCGGACACTTCAAGGTCAAAATCTGCAGAATTCCAACAATCTTCAATCCTTCCTTGCACAAATGCTTCGCAGACTTTCATGGCAGCAAATTCGCCAACACTTGCAGCTTCGCAAGCGTTGCAGTCCTCTTGGAGGAAGCGGAGAAAAACCACCATCCATCACGAAGCAAGAAAAGCACGCATGTCCGGACATGAGGAAGTCAGCCTCAACTTCCAAGCTGTCGTTAAGTTTGGCAGTTTGGCACGTGATTGTGTCTTTTTTTCGCACAAGGTTGCTGACTAACAATGCAAGTATAGCTGCTAGCCTATCGCAAAACCTTGAAGCCCGAACTAAAGAATATATAGATGTTTTCCCACGTCTCCTTGTCCCCCAATGATCCCTGGCAGTGACACTGCTTAGTGCAGCTGAACATACCAACTCCAAGCAAGTCGGTCTGAGCTTCAGGCTGGTCTGCATTACGGTCCAGCTGTCGAATTGTTTGTTTGTAGGCCTGGGCAGTGCGATGCAAGACTGCATCGTCTTGCAGGTTGTACTCTTGAGTGGCGTCGTTCCCGGTTATTGTAATCCCTGCTGTTCGTATACAAAGCATACTCTTGTCCTCAGCATTCCAAACCAAGGCTGCTGCGTGCCACCCGCGCAAACAAATCTCTCCCTGCTGCTTCACGGACAGCCCAGCTGGTCTGGAGGTCAGGGTGAGATTTGAAAAATGTCCACAAGTGTCTGCTTGTTGACAGGAAGCTGGAAGTCCGGTGAAATGTTGGCCTGCCTCATATCAGCGGTGTTTGCCTCACTGAAAGATGTGCTGGATGGGTGATCTACTGCCCCATTATTGTCAGCTTTAAAAACATGTTTCAACACCAACTGCGACACCTGTTTTACTTGGGCTGGATTGATGTGGAGCTTTAGGTCGTGCTGCAGATTTGTATGCAGAGACTGTCCAAACTGCGGGGGTGATCCCCAGTCCCCGGCGTATGCAAGTCCACCTCTAGCACCTCGACCTCATTGCAGGTTTCATAGCAGACGAGTCGAACATACTGATAAAACATACTGCAATTTACAGTTACATTGCATCAGAAGCTCAGTCTGGAAAGGGTCATATTTAGAAGCAGGTTGCTCACAAATGGCTCACAATGTTCAAGCATTGCAGTACATATCCAAGCGTCTCTTCAGGGCACACACACTACCTATTACCTTTACCACTTTCAACATCACAGAGTTTGGCATTTCAGGTTCCACACTTGGACGTAAAATAGGCCTAGATGCTGGACACAAATGCCCGCATTAAACTACAGTAAGCAAGGAAAAGAAGCGTATGTTGTCATCAGTTGTGACCTTCCTGAAAACACTTGAGCCAACGCCATAGCAAATCGAACTTTTGTTGGAATAGGAGAGCTTGTGTCTGCTCATATTCAGTTGGCTGGTGTGCTTGAATTCTGAGCTTGCCCGTTGGAAAGGTGCAAGCTGATGAAGCATGATTGAAGTGCAACCTGCGTGTAACCTTGCACTTTGCACTGGGTCGCATCTAGCCTCAGGTTCCTGAGTCCTTCGGCTGGGATCGAACTCTTGTGTGCGCCGCCTGCGCCAATCCAAGCCTCCAGGCCGTCAGAAATGAGCTATACCCTGCAAAGCCCACAGAGTGAACTTCTAAATTATATATATATGTGAATATATGCATTGTTGTTGCTTTTTGGCTCAGCTGCACATACCTTTTCCTCCCAACTGTGGGCACCAAAGAGGTGCTATAAAGGAGCAAAATCTTCTAACACGCCACGTCTTCTTGACCGTCTACAAAACGAACAGGATTCTTAAAGTCTTAAAGCCTCATGCTATTGGCAATCATCACAGTCGTCGCTGCACCGCACATCTTAGGAGCAATCTTTCACTTGGCAATCGAGCTGGATGCATTCGCTCACTATCCCTTCTTGAGAACATCATGGAAGGGTCCCAGCCCGGTGAACTGGCGACTGCACCTATTGTCACTTGCAGCCCACTACCAGCCAAAAACCTGCAAAAAGGAAAAGCAGCTGGATGGAACTTGGACACATCACACAAAAGCAGTAAGCTGTTCCTCTCCAATCAAGCCAACATCTCTGACAACATCAAACCACAAAACATCTCGTACGCAGAAATGGCCCGAGGGCCTGTGATCCACATTGCAGGGCTTCACTGATCGCAAGGTCTCAGGCCTTGTGAAGCGATACAAATCTTAAAAGAAAGAACATGTGAGCTATGTCTGTACTGAAGCATCATCACTTCACGGCCAGCCGTGTGAAAGCTTAGGGCGTGACAAATCAAGAGCTCGTGCTGGCGTGCGAGGTGTTGCCAACGCGGGCTCCTTGCGACATGGAGTTTCCATCAGATTTGGTCCTTCTGAGAGACCTCTTCTCAGCAAACGGCAAAAGGCTCACGTCCAGCTCAAGGTTTCTATCACGTGCATCCCAAAATCCAAAGCTTTGGTGGGGAAAATAAGCGTTGCTAAAAGTTTCCGACAAAAAGGAATTGAAAGGTGGGAAGGTGGGCCGGGGAGAATCTGGGGTGGAGATGAGATTCAGTCTATTGAGAAATTGCTTGTTTTCTCAGTAGTTCCAGTTGCACCAGTTCCATTTTTGAACTTTCGCCTATGCGGCCTATGCGTGCATTCTATACAGAGATTTTTGCCGAGCCTGCCCAAGGAAGGACCTTTGTGTGACTGCTTTCCTGGTGCATAGTCTGCATATCGCTGTCCTTTGTTGCTCTATACTGGCCATAGTGGCTTGGCCGCGGAGAATAGCTTGGCGGCCAGAATAGGCATGGTTGATCGTGCAAGCCGGCATGGCTTTTGGCCGTTTCGGAGCATTTAGAACGAACACAGTCTCACCGAGTCTCACCACCAGATTCTCAAGGTGGCTGATTGAGACTAATGTTGAAGCCTCGTCATGGCAACAGCTCCTGTGATGTCACACACTGAAGCGTGCATCGATTCGACTGTATGGGGGGTCAGCTTGCACTCAGCAATCAGTGGTGTTTCGCTGTTTCGCAAACGTTGTCTTGTCACGGCGACATTGCTTTGGAGATGTCGTCTCAACCTGGGTTGCAAAGCAGCCTTCAGGGCCCATGACCATTCTTTGAGCTGTCGTTCCTCCCGCCCCCCAAATGCCTCCCCTCGACCCAAGAGCGAACCCCGAACCGTCTTGGTCTTGGTCGCCTCACCCCGCTCAATCCGCCACAAACAAGCAGGCCACATAACACCTGCTTTGTACTCTGAAGTTTCAACCAGTCTTGTTATTTATCTCTCCTAATAATGTTGACTCCTATGCCGTTGAACTCAATATGGCAATGAAGGCTTCAAAGGAGCAAGTGTTTGGCTTGAGTTCCGGCTTCGTCCGGCTTCAACCTGCTTGTCTTTGGTTATAGCTTCAGTTCCCTCTTGTTCAATGATTTCATATTGGAATGTCATTCTCGCTGCTGTCTCAACAGAATTGCCCCTTTGCTTTAGTGACCCAATGGACACATGCCACCATGTGAAAGATATTCTGCAGCTCCACACATTTTTGCACTCCTGAGGCTTTGGTTGGAAGCCTGCTGGCTGCATTAGCCCATGACTTGCACCTGGATGATAGGCACGAAGGTGCATGGCATGATGGGCCTCAGCATGACGGGATTGGCACTTCTTGAACCAGACCTCCTGGTGCTAGAGTAGGCTTCCACGCCGAGCCCTTTTTCTTTATACTTTAGGGCAGGGGCGGGGAATAGGCCGCTATAGAAGAGGTAGGCTACTAGCTAGTGGCTCTACTACAGCAGGTACTGGACGCTACTACCTACTGGACGCAGAATAGCTCATTTGGTCGCTAGATTATTGGAAGAATCCAGCTTTTCTTTTTTGACACATCTCGACACCCCCTCATCCTTGGCACCTGATTGGCGAAACGGTGATCCTGGTGTGGCGCATGAGCCATGGCTGTGAGACTGAAGTCTGATGGAGAACAAACGCAGTCTACAAGAGCAACATCCTCTATATCCAATATATATATTTTTTTTTTTTCTGCACTCCTTTTTCAGTCTGCACCCTCAGTTCCGACCTTTGGTCGGAAACAGGCTGGCAGTGTCGCCTGGCCTGTCTGGTGACTGCACGGGCGCTGCAGTCCTTTGCTCGCT